GTGGAAAGGGAAGAACATCCAGCAGGAACATTACCAGAGCCATATGGCAGTAAGGACCAGTGACCACAAGCCTGTCAGCTCCTTGTTCATCATCGGGGTAAATGCTTCAGTCTTCAGCTACCTTCATGTTTAATTCATTTTCTAGGTTCACCTTAATAATTAACATGAATGTTACATTGGTCAAAATCTGTACTTATGTAAAACTGCACTATCTCCCCATTTCTCTGTCAGTGCAGTATCTCCAAAGAGCATACTGTATGTATTCATTTCTAGAGCTTTACTTTTAGTCACATTCATTGATATAGGTTTGGATATTTTCATCCTTGTTTCCTAAGCGGAGAAATATGAAAGAGGAGAAAAAAGCTTTCTGATTATCCTGCTGTTCACACTAATAAAGCCTTAGAAAATAAAAAAAATTGTCCAGTTCCAGCAGCAGTCCAGTCATTTCTAAAACCATTTTTCTGACTCTGATTGACAACAGTGTGGTGGGAGTTCAGTCCTTTTGTGTTGGATATAAAGTGAGCCGCGGGTGCCTCAGATAATTCTATTAAAAATGTTAAGACCATTTATTTGGCAGCAAAAGCGTTTTGTTTAAACAAGATTTTTTTTCTCAATTATCTACGGTATGTTGTAATGCAGTTGCAACAATTATGATTTCATTATAGAAAGATCCATATAAGAAATTTGGCTTTTCAAAGTACACATAGGTTGGAAAAACACTTAGATGTACTGAGGTTTCTTTTTTCTTTTGATAAAATTAAATTTGCAATTTAAAACCTCTATCCCTGGTTTGATTGTTTTGCCTCTAATTCGCTTTGTCTTGTATCTACAGATCAAGAGAGTAAATGGTGAAGCCTACAAGAAGACTTTTGAAGAGATAGTACGCAATATAGACAAAATGGAGAATGAATGTATTCCATCTTTAAGCTTGTCCAAGAGAGAGGTAAGGCTGTTCCTATTTATACAGCTCTTCAATTAGATATTCCTTCATAGTGTTGTTTGACCATACCTTGTAGAAACTAGCTAAGGATTTAATATTTTATTTTTTGTTTGTGTTTTTTCCCATTCAGTTCCACTTTAAGGATGTGAAGTACATGCAACACCAGGCAGAGGCCTTGAGTCTTTTCAATGATGGGCAGGTCCCGTGTCAGTTTGAGTTTATCCAGAAGCCGAATGAGTCCACATACTCTAAGCCCTGGCTCACAGCCAACCCGTCCAAAGGCTTCATTCCTCAGGGTGAGACACATGAACGTTGGAAAGATCATTTCATCCCAGTAGTTATAACCATTACATCATCCCTTTTACGTTATGACCTGTGTTGCTAAACTCTTAAACTTGTTTTTTTTTTTTAAGGTGGTTCCATGGTCATTGAGCTGGAGGTTTTTGTAAATCGCTCCACAGCACCAGATCTAAACTGTGGTAAGCAGGAGATTGAAGATATTCTGGTACTACACCTAGAGCGAGGCAAAGACTATTTCATCTCCGTCACTGGAAACTATTTGCCAAGCTGCTTCGGTACTTCGATCTATTCGCTATGTCACATGAGGGAACCTGTTCAAGACATGCCCATACAGACCCTTCTTAAGCTGGTTAGCACCCTCTTCAAATACTTGCTCATTTGTTGCAATCTTCTTTTTTAAGCATTTAACAAATATACATCGTTTATTTTATTTATTTTTTTTGACCATCAGGCTGAAATGTCTCCAAATGATGATTCATCCACCGCTGAGAAGCCTCTTGACATTCCGAAAGAACTTTGGATGATGGTGGATCATTTATTCCGCAATGCTGTCAATCAGGTGGGATTTCGTTGATTGGAAATTCAAAATCTCTGTTTACATGGACACTAAATTATAAGATCCGATCGTGACATATGTATACGCGTACCAAGCATTCGATCAGATTAATCATTTAAGCATGCGTGGATGGTCCACATGGGCAGGGGAGGTTATTTTACTCCAAAGATCCAAATGGGTGTTTAAATGGAGGCCAGTGGGAATGGTTATCAGCAAAACCACCTCTCTCCTACAAAATGAAATTTATTTCTGATTGGATTAGAATCCTCAGTTTATGTTTATATGAAACACTTTTGATCTGTTCAGGCCTATAAACGTAGCCCGTCTCTGTGTCTTTGCTTCAGGAGTTCTTTGTTCCGGTAATGAAGTGCATTAGTTCAGCAATGCAGTTAAGATATTTTTTGCATGTATGTTTTTTTTAGTTACATTCTACTACCGGTGGAAATGGAAACCAAAGTAAAATTTGAAATTTGCTGCTGTGCGCACAAACTTGACCAACACAGTGGACCCTGATTCAGCATTGCATCATTTATATGTATATACTTCAGTAAATAAATATTTGTGTTTCCATTTACAGGAAGATTTATTTCAGCAACCTGGACTTCGAACTGAATTTGAGGAAATAAGAGATTGTCTGGATTCAGGGATGCCAGACTCGCTTCGTATCCTTAAAAAAAATAGAAAAAAAACAAACAAAATCCTGATAGATTTGAGGAGGCTGTGGTGTAGTCTATAAATTTAAATTCCTCATATCTTTATTTGGCTTAATCATAACATTTAAAACTGTTTTAATCTATTTGGGGTGCATGGAGCTCACTGTCATCACATGTCATCACTGCTGCTCAGAATTGTTCTACTATAACAAGTTTACGGTATATAATGCAACAAAAAAGCTTCCTTGACTCTGGTGTCCTGCAGCGGGTAGCAACCATTCAGTGGCAGAAGCCCTTCTTCTCTTCTTAGATGCCCTACCAGAGCCTGTGATTCCCTTCTCTTTTTATCAACAGTGCCTTGAATGCTGCTCTAGTGGGGCCCAGTGTGAGAAAGTAAGCAAAACATAGCAATCTGTTCTATGATCTGTCAATATTTTCTTTTAATTGTTTTTCCTTCCTATTCAGATTGTTTCCATGCTACCTCAGTGCCATAAAAATGTGTTCAGCTATTTAGCTGCCTTCCTTCGTGAGCTCCTGAAAAATTCTGCAAGCAATGGATTAGATATTTCTATTTTGGGTAAGTAAAATAACTAATAATAGCTTAATTCTTGCCTCACCATGTTGTCGAATACATCTCATTCAAAGGGAAGACTACCAAACCATGAAACCAAATTTGGTCTAGGATTCTGTTCATAACAATCTTTGCTTTTAATAAAAAGTCAATTTCATTTTAAAACATACTGAGACTGCAAAAACATCTTTAATTTTTAGCAGGAATAATTTTATGCATTTTGAATAATTAATTCTCTTTCTGCACAGTCACCATTTTCGCCTCCTTGCTCCTGAAGTCGCCTAAGAAGCAGGACTTAGCAGAAAAGACGAAACCCCAGGAGTTCTTTCAGCATTTCCTGAACTAACATTCCTTCTCTACACAAAATTAATCTATTTTGCTGAAGTGGAACACTAAAAAAAGTCCAGTATTTGAAATTAACTGTAATGATTTATTTTCCAACATTTGTGTATAGAAAAATAGTGTATTTACATTAAAGAGGCTATGATATTAATTTCAAACAATTTTGTGATCCAATTATCATGATTATTGTAGATGTTTTAAATGTATATTTTATTTAAAGAATGTGTATTTTAATGTTTTTATATATATATAAAAGTGTTTAAAAAATGTCTCTTTTTCTTCATTTTATATTTTAATTGAATAATCAGAAAATGCATTGGGGTATTTTTCTTTTATTTGGATAAATATGATTTATGTAAAAGTCCATCCATCCATTTTCTGTCATGCTTATCCCAGTGGGGTTGCGAGGGATGCTGGTGCCTATCTCCAGCTTATGTAAAAATGATCTTTATCATTAGATGAGGCAGGAACATGTACAAGTATTGATATGTATACAAACTTTTGTGTGCATGTGTGAATATATCCATTTTTATTGTATATGTTTTTCTGACATTCACTTTGTCCAAATGGAATACATATATTTTTTCAAATATTTTGAGTTTCGGTTTGAGGTTGCTGTTAAAAAAAAATAATAATTTAAGCAAATATTTTTTAGTGGGGGGGGGGGCAAAAGGCATTTAATGTAAAAAAAAAAAAAAAATAGGATGGAAAGTTTTTGGGAATGGCACTGATGTACCATTAAATATAAAGAAAATGTACATGATTCATTTTGCAATCAGTACAAATGACTAGCATAACTAAACACTAATAACGATGCATTACAATAATAGAAACCAGAATCAGAAATACTTTAATAATCCCAGAGGGAAATTACTTTTGTTACATGCTCAAGTTACAGTATTATGTATATCTATATATACACACACACATCCAACTACACAAGATAAAAATAAAAAAGATAAAAATATATACACATATAGCTCTTCTATATATCTATATATGTATGCATATATATGCAATGTATGTAAAGCTAAATCCAAGTAAAGTGATAATCCAAGTAAAGTGATACGTGGCATGCAAAAATAGTGCATAGATGTCAATTACAGAGGGGAGGTGTCTGAATCACTTGAGGGCGTTATAGAAACGTTGCAGAAACAATATACATACAAGGGAGTTTTTCCTCTCCACTGTCGCTACAAGCATGCTTAGTGTGAGGGATTGCATCAGAATCAATGAGTCATGCAATCAACTGGTTTTCCTTAGATTGAAAACTTTGACTTAATTTCACTGTAAAGTGCCTTGAGATGAAATGTGCTGTGGATTGGCGCTATATAAATAAACTACTGAATTGAACATAAAAGAGAAGATTAAGTATGTTGTGTTTCCTTATAGTTGGTAGCCATAGTCTAAATGCTGACTATCTGACAGTGAAGTACTACTGCCATCTGGGCAAGTAAGAAAAAATAACAGTAAAGATGTCCTGATTTAGTCAAATCGTTTTTTTTGTTTTTTTGTTTTTATAGAGTTTAGTTGTGTATTTAGTTTTGTCATATATGTCAGAAGGGTTGTATGGCTTATTTTATCCTGCTTTTTGCGAATACTTTTATGTTCCATTTAAATGTTTAGTTTCCCATAATTCATCACAAATGGCCGATCGGTGACGTCGTTTGGCATCCCCCTGTTGGGAGGAGATTGGAAGAATTGCTCACCATCCTGAGCTTAGGGATAGGAGTCACGTTTGAGAAAGGTAAATGTATATATTTTTTGTCAGTTCATTGCACCCTGTTAACTTTGTCAATGGTATGTCATATTGTTGATTTCCATAGGATTAAACACGTTATCCCTGTGGTACAGTTGGTACGTGATGTAAACTGTCGACATTAGCAGTGCTAGCTGACACTTTAGCCTAGCCGTTAGCTAAAGAGTTCCTAGCACATCTATGCCTGATGTAAAATATGTAGTTGACACAGCTTGCGCAATGCTAACAAACTAGCATGCATTTGAACACTTTGAACTCACAAGTTATCGAGAAAAAAAATCATCTATTTTTCCTGTAGTGTAGGTGTTAATCGCTATAATTGTATACGCGGTTAATGTGGTTATAAAGCGGAATAATGTTGTAAATAAATTGAGATATCGATCTTGGCTAACTAACGGTGTTTGGCTAGCAACCTTGGTTTGATGACATTTGGACAACTCCACGAAAATGCTTTGTCAGACAAAACTTTGCTACATACAAAGTTGTGTTTATGAAATTCGCAAATATGTGTGTTTAAGTGATTTTTCGCGTCTTTTTTAAGTTTCTAAAATAGAAAAGTTGTTTCTGGTGGTCAAAAGACGTTGGCATCTCATCGAAGGTTAAAAAATAATAGCAGTTAGTGAATGCTAATAGTGGCTGTAGCGGTACAAAAATCAATCAGATCATTTTAAGTTCAACCCCTCTTCGTATTGTTACACAACTGGCTTTAGAAATTTCTAGACTTTTAGTTGCTCCAGTCAGGGTTTCCTCCAGAAAAGAACCTTAGCCTCAGTGCGTGACATTAAAAGCTACCAGCTTTACGTTGCCCTTAATATATCTCCTTCCTTACAAGATTCTTCATTTTTTTTTCAACAAATTGTATTACTAGACACGTAGTTACTCAGCTTTCTGATAAGTTTATTATAAATTGAGAGTGAAAAGGCTTCCTATGAAAGCGAAAATAAGTACCCCCTGCTTGAATCAGCTGTTCATCCACATTCTTGTAAAGCTGAGATTAATCTCTCTATCAATAAACAGCCCTGATTGATTTCTTAGCCCTGGTCTTTACCTTGCAAAACTATCTGAAAATGAGTAAATATTTCTTAAAATAAGTGTTGGCCCTTAATCTTAGGTAAATAAAATGAAATGAATTAGTATGTTTGCCCTTTAAGTAAGACTGTTATCAAAAAGATGATGTACTTGAAATAAGAGAATGCAGATTTTGAATGTAGACTGTCATTCATTTGGGGAAGTGTCTCAATTATTTGCTTGATTCCAGGAAATAATACATTTATTTTAAGAAAAATTGACTTGGATTTCATTTTTTTCAGTGTACGATTCAGTGTCCTGCATGTTCTTTTATTTCTTATCTTTGTTAATGATGATCACGATGGTGATAATCAAAAATAATATGTACTCTAGGAAAATATTCTTTCATTCATTACTTTTTAAAAAGTATGAATTCTTCTACATTGTCTATAAACCTAAATGTATATTTGAATAACATCATACTAATCTTCAAGCCTGGTTATTCTAAAATAAACAAAACCAAAAAATATTTTGGAGAGCCTCTTCCAAATTTGGACTTAATTGAACTCAACTTCTCTTGCATGATTTTTTTTTTTTCTTTCTATTTTTTGGTCAATATGCCCCAAAAATCCTCTTTGTGTGGCTTAATGAAACCAACTCTTCAAAGATCAGTAGCCAAATTTAAGTTATCTTTTTAGTTGGATTGGTTATTATTTAATGAAGTCATAATTTCAGTGTTACTTTTTACATTTAATTATATTAATCTAATATGAAAACTATAAGATGATTGGAAAGATTTAAGTGTGCGGAAAAATGAAGATGAGAGCAGAAGAAATCGGGAAGGATGCAAAAATGTTTTCACAGGGTGATTGATTCTATCCGCAGGTGCATACCTTCTGTTTTTAAAATTTAGTTACTTTTTGATCATTGAAAAGGCTTTAAATCTCCCCAAAGCAACTTTTATCTCCACACTGATAAAAAAATATATTTTAGCCATCTTTCAGGCCACTGCATGAAATCAATAACGATTAAAAGCATGGACGCCTAATTAATGAGTTCAGACTTAATGCTGTAAAACGTCTGCCAGTTTAGATTGCTCATAAGCCACAGATTTAATATTGCCAGCTGACAATATAGATTTCTGTGCTTGCTGAGATGTTAAGACCGTAATAGCACAATTTGTTGCAGTACTGACACTTGATTACTGTGTTTTTGTTTTCTATGTACTGTTTTTAGTTCAAGAAACACTGAAAATTATATTTAGGGCATACTTCAGTATGTCTGTTTTTAACATCAAGCACACTTTTAATAATAGATTTTAATAATAATAGATTTTATTTGTAACGCACCTTATATTTCAAAGAAATCTCAAAGTGCTACAGAGATTAAAAGAAGAAGAAAAAAAATATAGATAAAAAAATAATAATAGTAATAATAAAAAAAATAAAGAATAAATTGTAGGGCTTACAATAATACATCTTACACCGAGTGCTATCAAAAACTAGCAATTGAAACTAACAATTAAAACTACAATTTAATCTCAAAGTGCTACAGAGATTAAAAAAAAAAAAAAAAAAAAAAAGATAAAAATAATAATAATAGTAATAATAAAAATAAAGAATAAATTGTAGGGCTTACAGTAATACATCTTGCACCAAGTGGTACCAAAACTAACAATTGAAACTAACAATTAAAACTACAATTTAAAACAAAACTTACAGTTCTAAAAAGGCCTGTTTAAAAAGGTGAGTCTTAAGACCTTTTTTAAAGGCCTCCACACCTTGTGGGGCTCTCAGGGACTCTGGAAGGGCATTCCAGAGCCGTGGAGCTACTGCCTGAAAAGCCCTATCCCCCATAGTGGCAAGTTTGGTCTCAGGTTGATGCAGGCAGTAAAAGGAGGTGGAGGAACTTTTAAGTTGACATCAGTTCTATCTATAAACTTAGACTGTACCTTGAGAGGTTGACTTTGCAAAAACACAAAGGTAGGGATAGTCACTCTTCCAAAAAAGCCTTCCTGAAAAAAGAAGCCTGGCCCTCATTTTAGAATTGGTTGGCCGATGATTTATTACATGATTTTGAAGTTAGATTCATGTCAGATGATTCTATTTCAACAAGCCTTTTCATAACATCACATAGGGCTGGACAATTTAGCAAAAAAATCAAAATTGTTGCAGGACTTTACTCAGGGTTTCCTCGGGTCATTAAAAACCATTAAAAGTCATTACATTATTTTTTAAATTAAAGGCCTGAATTGGCATTGGAATTCATTAAATGTGATTATTGTGGCATTTGAAATGCTTTATTTAAAAAAAAAAAAAAATTATAAAAACTATTTCGTCAGATATATCGTGATATATTTGTGGGGAACGTAATACCATATGTTCGGGAAAAGATGCTTGAAGCTTGGAAAATGACTAGAAAACGAGGAATTCGGGACATGGCTGCAGCGTGTCTACGGTAAAGATGGAGAAGGATTTTGCCGTGTTATACGTGAGTCATAAGTACTTGATGGCATTAAAATTATTGCTAAGAGCATTAAAAGGCATTAAATTAGAGTTACTCATTCCTGTATAAACCCTTTTACTGTAACTTTTGTATAAAAAAGTGCATACTTGTACTCGTACACGTGAATCTGCGTGCTTGCTCCGATTCTTTCTTCCCTTTTGTGTAACTGCAAACCCAGTTTTCGTGAATTCCTGCCACCTAAAGAGGTGGAGTGAAAAGTTAAGTTATGACTGTTGTTGGATATAATATGACCAAAAATAAGCATCTCTGCGATTTGCAAATTTTGTTCAATTGTGGTTGTATTGTAAAAGCAATTAATTGACCAGGATTGTGTGTGTGTATTTAAAAATGGTTCTAAAAAAACTAAATTGTTTGGCAATTGATGCTCTTATAATGAGATGTTTGAAATTTTGAAAAAAAAACAAAAAAACATTTGTATTTGTTTTTAAATGCATAAAATATCGAGATTTAATGTTGCATTTTCATCGTAAGAATGACTGCCTTGTAATCAACCTGTAATTTTCTCTCATACATTCCTCAACATAAAATGTAGAATATGATCAAACAAAAAAATCTTCAGCTTGGGTTTATTTCTATATCAGTTTTAATTTTTCTTATTTGGGCTAATTCAGCATATGCTTATTGATCAAATGTTGGTATATAGCTGTTTAAAAACATTGACAAACTGACTGGCTGATTTGAAGAGTTTCACTCCTTAATCACTCCTAATCACTGAGTGTGATTACATTATGATTATTATTATTATTAGTTCTCGAAATTGCAACTCACAATAGCAAATTATTGGCTACTTTTGAGCAGATAAATAAGTCAAGTAGCATAGTCACCATTCCAGCAACTCCAATTGCCATCTGTAGACTAATAAATTTGATTTAGTGCACTATTTACCTTTACAAAGACTTCCATTGTCGCTAAGCAAATTATAATCACCTAGAAGTGAGGCCAAATGTAATCTAGGTCTTATTTTTCAGGTAACACATTGAACTTTGCCAGCGTTTGGTCCTTCTGGCAAAGGAAGGGAAGGCATCTGGGACCATGAGTGAGAATGGCCCTCGAACAGAGGTGCCAATGTACTTTGAGGTGGAGGTGGATCACCTGGGGCGGGAAGATGAAGAGGAGGAAGACAAGGTCCACGATGACGAACTGATCGCGGACCCTTCGTCCTCATCTGGTCGTGTGTACGACCGCACCACAGTGCTCATTGAGCGAGACCCCATCCGACTGGATGAGGAAGGCGAAGAGGAGGGCCATTGTGGTGGCGACGAAGATGGAGTCACCTTTTTAACTGAAGGGGAGGGGGATGCAGATGAGGAAGGATCTCTGGCCTTCATGGCTGACCCTGATGGGATGTCGCAGGGCTACGTGCATCACACGATTTCTCCCAATCAGATCCAGTTCACTATAAATCCAGGCTCCACCCCAATGCCACGCAACATAGAGGGCGCTACGCTCACCTTGCACTCCGAGTGCCCAGAGACCAAGCAGAGGGAGGTAAGCCCTGACAGATGTGTTTACTATAGTGTGAAGGAAGTATCACTATGGTTTCTGTGTGATACGTGTTTGTTGAGATAGAGCCTGTCATCGATTGTTAGTGGTACACTTTCTGCTAAAGTAACAGCTTTGCCTTATTCAGCAATTACAGCTAATTGGTCAACTAGAGAGCATTATAGATTTTTCTGACAGTTTTAATTCTCTTCCAAATGAGAACTGAAGGAGGAAAAAAAGCATATTGTATAGCAGTGTCTCCCACTTGTACCCTAGCAGGTGGTCTGAGTATGTAGGAGAAGGCTCTTTTTTCAGCTCCTGGGTTTTTTAATGATTTCACAAAAGAAGAGTTTGAAACAAACAGGAAAACAGAAACTAACCTGGTTGCTCATTTACCCTGTAAATCTCCCCACGGTTTTGGCTCAGATCTCAAAGGAAATGACTCAGGCATAAAAACATTATATAAGCCTAATTAACAAACTACAAGCTGCATAGCTGGTAGTGGGAATACTCTAACAATAGCCTAAGCAAATGCACTCACTGTACTCATCCTCTCAGGTATTTATTAAAAAAGGAAAAAAAATTTAAATCCCTTAATTGTCACAAAATGGGGAAATTCATTCTCTGCATTTAACCCATCCCCTTGGGGAGCAGTGGGCTGCCACCGTGGGGTGCCTGGGGAGCAATCAGGGGTTAAGGGTTTTGCTCAGGAGCCCAGAGTGCAGGCTGTGGCGATCCAACCAGGCCCTTTCAACCTTCCTAGAGCACAAGCACACTGCTCTAAACCACTAGGCAACTCTCTAGATCCATCTCAGTGACCCTGATATCTTGCAGACACGCCACGTGCTGCCGAAGTTCTCGCGAGTCCAAGAATAGGCTTCCCCTTGCGCTTTGGCAGGAAACTGCTGTGCATCCCTAGAAATTCCAGACAGACAGTGCAGAAGCATATCACCAAAACTGGGTCGCGACCAGACCCAAGCGATGTTTGATGTGTGCGGTTGCAGAAGTATAATTTGCCCTTTAGTCCACATAGGAGATGCACACAATCTAGATCTGGGTTGGATTTCAAATTAAATCAAAGAATTAATTTGTTATACCATATATTTGGTTGAGCTGTGATCTACAGTTACATAAAACATAAAATACATTTTATGTAATAAGGAACCATAGACTAACATGGCTGAATCAGCATCCTGGTTCTCCAAATACGATTCGGTTATGATTCCAGTATCTATTAGTCAAGCCTGTTTTCCACTTAATGCTGACACAAACTGTGATGAACCCTTATGTTATTGTTTAACTTCTTTTTAAAATTACTTTGCCTGTTTTTAATTTAACAAAGAAAGACGAGTGATGGTATTTGGTGGACAACAGAGGAGCACTGTTTGGACCTGGGGTCTCTTGGTCTTTCTTAACTGCCAAACCATTTTAGATTCCACTAGTAAGATCTTTTATTCGCTTAGATGTCTTTAATCGCCTTGCCCTGCTTTACATTTCAGAGCCTTATGTGCCGCCTTGTTCTCTAAGGTCAGCTGACCTTTTGCTTAAGCTCAGGGAGTGGGGGGGGGGGGGTTCTAAACTCTGCTACTCTATAAAAGGCAGGTGGATTTCTCCCTGGTCAATTTTTAAGCTTTTTTTTTTTTTTTTTTTAACAAATATATTTCTTTCCGGCTTTTAACTCTTAGCAGGGATCTGATTTTATGTTATTACGATATTTTATGTTAGCCCCATCTTAATGTATTTTCTCTACTGATATTATCTATACTTGGCTTTTATCTGTGCAGCACTTTGCCCTTAAAGTGCTTTGATAATTCAGTTGGATTTATAGAGATAATCTGTCCCCCAAACTGTGTAGAGTCTGTTTTGTATTTCACTATGCAGTAATTTGTAGCGGTGTTCCTTTTGAAGGTTTTAAACTTTCCTATTTCAACCACAAATCTAAACATGTTAATTAGAGAGGGGACTTAATAAAGAGGGGAAAGTAATAAAGAAAATATAAAGGGAAAGAATACATCACTTTTAAATGTTACTACAAATAGAAATTTGAAAACTGTATATAAATTTGTATTCAACAGTATTTACTCTGAGAACCTCACATTTAGCCTGAAACAATGAATCATGATTAAATGATTATTGAAATAATTGTCAAGTAATCGATTGCCTCGTTAACTGGAGTATAGAGATTGTAAAACATGTCTTTAGCTGCCAGAGCAACCCAAAATTATATAAAAAAAAATAAATATTTTGCATTTAAGATATAAAAAACATTTTCGTCTGTCAATAGGCTCTATCCAGAACTCCTCGTGTGGACAAGTTTTAGTTTCAACTGGTTTAATTTCGTAAAAGTCTTCTGTAAGGAACCCTTGGTGATCCGATTATTAATAGAAAAAATAATCAACAGATTAATTAGTTTGCAAATAATCGCAACTTGGAACATCACTTAACTAGTGGGGGATTTTCTACCTGTAATTTATTTAATCTTAAAATGAATACAACTATCCTGTGACAGCTTTATAGATTTTTTTAGAGCACACAAATAAAAAAAAAACAGCATAGCAAAAAGCAAGGAACACGACAGGAAGATCAGGGAGTTTGAAGCAGGTATAAGTCAGACAATATCTCACATTTAGGAAGGTTTCAGAAAACATTTCAGTCCATCATCTATAATAAAGAGTAGAGAGGAAATCTACAAATAAAGGCTACTACCTAACTTTACTGAGAGCATTTATCAGAGGAGAAGCTCTGAATATACACAGCTTAGGTGGGAGGTTGTTGATAGTTTTGTTAAATATACTTTTAACTCTTAAATACAATGTTGACAGGACTTTTCTAGAACCCATTTAGGAGCCAAGAAAGTCCATTGCCTTGCATTAATTCTCTTGTGTATGTTTTGTAAAACTTGCTTTGTTTTTTTAAGAGGTGCTTAAGTCAGCTCTATAAGCCTTAGTCAGGTTCCAATACTTTATTTGCATAGATATTTGCTTAACAAATACGAGTCCTATATTACTTAGAGCTAACATTGGCAACAACACGCTTACTAATGCTACACATTAATAATTGCAATTTGGTTGTGTTTTTATACATAAATAATTGACATGCTACCATCTGTTGTGTGTGGAATAGTACACCTCAGGATTGATAAGAAAAACATTATCGGTTTAAACTTTAGATGATTAAACTTTATGACTTCAGAACTGACAGAGGGTTTACTTTCTTATGGCAGTGTGTATGGTGTATGTTTGATGTGCTGTAGCAGTGAGGATACGGGCCACCTTAGGATGTAGGTTTTCTTTCTGCACATTAAACATTCAGCAACCTGACTAGCCCTGCTTCCATGGTAATTAGGCTGTAGTTATGTTTTAGTTCTTGGAAAATTCTAAGAGAAAATGCTGTCTAAGTAGGGTTGGGAATTGAAAAGATTTTCACGATTCCGATTCCCTTTTCGATTCTATGAAATGATTCGATTCTTTATCGATTCTTTTTTCGATTCCAATTTGGGGGAAAAAGGAGAACAAACAGTTTGATTATCAGCATCAACTTTGTTTACTTAACTATTGCACAATCTTACAAACTCAACAAGATCAAGATGTCCACAGGAAATGTGAAACTGGAGTAACATCTGTGTTTAAATGAAAAATAAATATACAAGAACAAACTTAATAACCAACAATGTCTAATAACAAATGATGGGATAATAACCTATTTTAAATAACAAAAAATACTAATTATAAAAGAGTAGTAGGGAAAATTAACAGTTATTTTGCAGAAAGATGAGCATATCTGCTTTTTCTGGAAGGATACAGGATCTTTCAGGGCTTAAGGTGTCTCCAGCCGTGGAGAACACCCTCTCAGATGGGGTGGAGGAAGCCTGCACACAGAGGTAGTTTTCAGCCAGTCAGATAGCAAGGGCAGCGTATCTTGCTTGTTCCACCACCACAGTGTGGCGCTATCCCTGCAGGGGATGGAGGGCAAGCTTTTATAGAGCTGGATTTCCTGATCTACCCTCTGGGCTAAGGAAAGACGGGGCTTTGATTCACAAAGTGACCGCAGCTCGTTGTCTTCCTCCTCGAATAGTTCTTCCAACTTGCGTAACTTGCGTAACTTGCGTAACTTACGTAACTTACGTAAAAAACGTGACGTAAGTCGTGCTCCCCAGAGCCGGCGCTCTAGGCTCTGGTGCTGCGGGAATCGAAAAAAGAATCGTTCAGTGAGCTGCCAAACGATGCCATGGAATCGGAAAATACGGAACCGGTTCTTAACAGGAACCGGTTTTCGATTCCCATCCCTATGTCTAAGGTAGAGTTTCTACTGGCTTTGTTAAAACAAGGGTTTGGTTGGGTTTTTTCCCTGAAAGGTGAATGGAGCGTTATTGTTTTTGCTGCCCTGGGGTGGTTGTTTGAAACCACCACACTGCAGTGGGCATTGTGCTGTAAAACAATATTGAATGGAGAGCATTAGAGGTTACTCATCGTTGCTGTCATTTCTGCTCAACCACTTTAAAAACTGACATGTGGCTGAATCATTTAGTTCATGTCCCCTCTGAAAGGTCACACTGTCACAGATTGTCACTTCATTTATCATGGTCTGTTATTTTTGAGCTGAATCAACAAACTATTTACTAATTTAAGTTTTTTTTTTTTTGTAAAGCAAATAGTAGTAATCAACCATTTATGAGGATATTATTTCATTAGACCTGATTATTGTTGTTCCTATTTTTTTTCGTCCCATTCATCAGGTAAAACGCTATCAGTGCACTTTTGAAGGCTGCACTCGGACCTACAGCACTGCGGGAAACTTGCGGACACACCAGAAAACGCACCGAGGCGAGTACACGTTTGTGTGCAATCAGCAGGGATGCGGAAAGGCCTTCCTCACCTCCTACAGTCTCAAAATCCATGTCCGTGTTCACACAAAAGAGAAGCCTTTTGAGTGCGACGTGCAGGGCTGTGAAAAGGCCTTTAACACGCTATACAGGTGAGCTTACACACAGCCGGACCGTGCCAGGTTTACACTTTATGTTGCAGTTGATACAGTGCTGGCACACGTTCCCGTCTCATTCAGTCGCAAACTCCATCACATTAAAGCCCAAAGCAGGTGGCTGTAATGATGACATTATGGTGTAAATCATTCATTTGGTCTGCTCTACAAAAGATGTTTGTTTCTAGATAAATAAATATTTATTTGACATCCACAATCTAATAAATATCCTCATTAGTTATCTGATCTTCAGTGCCTTTTATACCTGTTGGAACTTTTTCATTTTTTACCATGTAACAATGAGCAACTTTATTAGATTTTATTTAGGGATCCACCGATTTCAGGTCTCTGGCAGATGACCAATTTTTTAAAAGCCTGTCATGCCGGATACAAATTATTATTATTATTATTATTACTATTTTTTCTTTTTTTCAGTAGTCAGTTATTAGATCACAAGACACCTTTAACATTTCTATCGTATTTTGCTGAGAGACATTAATCAGTATCTGTGAAACAATAGAAGCTTCTGAAATAATTATTCTCAAAATATACATCAAAGTTTGGAGCATTGTCAGTGAGGTATTTTCATACCTTTGCTGAAGTAGATATGATCAATGGAAAACATCTAAATATTGACCAATTAGTCAGTGCTTTCATTTTTTAAACAGATTATAGAATAAGCATTAAACATCTTATTGTCCACGGTTTAATTTCTCATCTGAAAATGGACTCGGAGTTAGCAGACTACATTTATCTGAACTGAAAATATTTAGTATGGATTCAGTTTTCAGTTCCTACTTGTGTAAAGCTTGTCTTATAATTATGAGCCTTCTTAATATTCATTATTTTGTGTTTTTGTCTTTCACTGTTGCTGATACGTTGCAGATTTCCCCAACTAGTAGTACAACTAGAAGTTGAATGTTCTAACAAAAGTCTATAGTCGTTTCAGAAAGTAAAGGTCATAACAAATATTCATTGCACAATGAACCATGTCCTTGTTTTTAGCCGTTTGGATAATAAAACAAAACAAAATTCTGTTTGTCTGTAACAATTAAAATGATACATGTTCATTTTAATGCTTTCGATGCTGAGTTGTGCCTCCTTTAAGCGTGTAGTCTCTGTACGAGGTGGCATGGAGGCGTTGAGCCTGTGGTTCTGCTGAGCTGTAATGGAAGTTGAGGCCAGTTTGCCTGCCAACCAGGCTCTGTGACACTGTGGTCATTGAACCAGCTCTCAGCAGAGTGGCCAGGTGCCAAGTCCTGTTGTAAAATGAAATCAGCAGAAGAAAGCATGAACACCTGAGTAACACTTTAGCTTCTCAGACATTCCTGGCTCTGGTTTAGAAGTGACTCGAGGGTCTAATGCTACTTTTGAGGTCCATTTGTCTCTGGGTTGTGGATTGTAATCTGTGTACTCCAGCCTCTGTTACCTCATTGTGAAACTTCCCAAAATCTTTGAATGAATTTAGTTTCCCAATCCTCCTTAGGCCATGATGATCATTGTTCTCTGCCACCTTATCTGCTTGAAGATATTATTCTGTGAAACCTTGGATTTTTCTTTTCTGTGGTGGATGTTAATGATTATATTATTGGACGTTTGGCAAGTCAACAATCTGCCAAATAATTGTGTTGGAAAATATTTCTTAATTGTCAAATTACATAAACTAAATTCAGTGTCTGTATAATAATCCAAATAACTAGAAACAAATGCGTAGAATATCTCTGATGAATCTAGGTAATTGAGTTCTTAAAATGAGTGAATAACTTTTGGATTCAATTCTAGTTTTTGAACCAATTTTTCAAAAACATGTTACCCGTTTAAGTTTTGTTTTGCACATCACAGCCTTTTTGCTTCTTTAGCTAATCTAATAGTCAGTCTTTCTGTCAATGTGGCTTCAGCTTCTTTGTGTCACAAGATTTTACCTGAGAAATCCATTCAATGCAACATAGATGGATTCTCTGACTTCTCTACCTTTTTTACCCTGCCCACTTTTTGTCACTGAGATGCTGTATTAGTGTTGTCAGTGGGTTTGGACATTGCTCTGTTGAGTTTTCCTCTGTGCCAAATTTAAACATTAAGATTTAAATGCTTCATAGATATTTGAAATGAACTGAACTGTATAAGATTATGTGTTTCAGTCTCTTGAGCTCTCCTATTATGGGTTAGAAACCAACTTGTCTGTTTTTGCAGGCTGAAGGCACATCAGAGACTTCACACAGGCAAGACATTCAACTGTGAATCGGAGGGATGCACCAAGTACTTTACCACACTGAGTGATCTGAGGAAGCACATCCGCACTCACACTGGGGAAAAGCCATTTCGGTAAAAATTTCCATCAAAACCAAACTTTTTTATTTCTTTTCTGTGTAAAATTTAAAAAACAAAACCTTTTAATTTTTAAAGGCAGCGGAAATGTAATTTGCTTTAGGATGTAATGTTTTTTTATGTTTACACGTGGTCAGCGTGGTCTGGGCTTTATTATAGATGATCAATAGTTCATCGTGAGGTGTCGGGTCAATTCTATGCTATTGTTTACAGTTGTGATCACGATGGATGTGGGAAAGCCTTTGCTGCGAGTCATCATCTAAAAACACACGTACGGACCCACACAGGTATGTATTTGCCTTGTTAGTGATACCTTTACAATTGTTTGAACGTAGTAATGTGACAGTCTAAGAAATACATAACCTTACAAAAATCCTCCTATCCTTTCATCTTTCCCACATTTGTCTAAGTAAACATTGATGCTAACAATAAAATCTAGTGCTGCCAGATAGCAACGGTTAGGTGAACACAGTCTGTGTGAGTGATTTGATTGCATTATAAACACAGCTTGTTGGCTGAGGCCTGGATTTTGAATATGGATGAACTTTGGACAAGTGAGTTTAGAGCAGGTTGAAGTAGTTAAACAATACATATCTTCCAAAAAAGTAAAAAAAAAAAAAAAAAAAAAAAAACAACAAATGGCCTTTGTTTTCTAAGTTTGAAGATGTTTCGCTTCCCATCCCTGAGAATCCTCACCTGCATACAAAATAATAGATAAAGCTTTTTGGAACTTTTTCAAGCCAAAACTGCTGACCCATATAGACATTACAACCCTCCAAAACTCACCGGCTCGGTGGAGACTGTGTTGTAATGAATGGTTGAAAACTAAATCTTATTTGGTAGCATTATGGTCTTGGAATCCTTTTAAATTAGCAGAGAAAAGGAATCCATTAATATCCAGATAATATTAAAATGTCAAAACATCAGAAATCTTGGTGCTGTTTAGCTATGACATCAGGGTTCAGGATAACTTTACGCCACTGGAAATCTCCCACTCAGTCCACGTTTAAGGAGTGGATACAGGTTCTAAGTTCAATGGCCAGCTATGAATGGGTCACCTATAGGGTGGCTGGGAGGGAAGACATATTCAATGAGGTGTGGCGCCCATTCCTAGCTCAGTTGCTGAACATATAAGGATGTCTCCCTCTACTTACATTTAATTAGATACAGGAACAGGATTGCTATAATAGGCTTTCTAGGGTGTTTTAGTGTTGTCTTGTTTTGTGATTTATGTTATATGTTGTAGGTCTGGCTTGCTATTGACATTGTTGCTGGACTGCTTTTTCTTTTTTTTTAATACTCTTATTATTTGTTATTATTATTATCGCCTTGTTTTATGGTTATTTGTGTAGAGAAGACAAAAAACTGGACAGTTGCTAAGTGCACACAGGATGTTTTTCTGATTCATGTTACTGTAACAAGATAATGGTTGCTCTTCTGTATCTGTCTGCCAAAAAAAAAAAAAAGAAATCAGTTAACAGGAATAAATGGAGATAAAAGAAAAATGGTTAGAAACCTGAGGGGTTTCTAAAAGCAATGATCCTGATCAAATGTTAACCCAGAGCTCCGGTTGACTAGTTAGTTGAAATGTATGGAAGTTTAAAGCCTTTTTCAAGGCTCTGCTGGGTCTTTACTAACTACTGAACACATAATCAGACTGTCTGTGTTTCACATTCACTTCTTTTTAGGGGAGAAGCCATTTAACTGTCCTAGTGATGGCTGTGAGAAGACGTTTAGCAGCCAGTACAGTTTGAAAAGTCACATCCGGGGCCACGACAAAGGACGGCCCTTCACCGTCACCATCACCCACCCACACTCTGAAGTGAGTCATTGCACAGCAGCCTCTTGGAATATGAAACATCTATTAGCAGTTTGTTGCTGTCTTGGTTTAAAAGTGTGGGCTGTGTTTAAGAAAATGGACTCTGAACATGGTTATTTCTATGTGCACTACTACAGACAACATATGAATCAGGGACTGAATGTAAAATTCATTCAGTCCCTGAAAGCAGTGAATCTTTAAATCCTGTATCTTCTCAGTCACTTACCCTTATTCAAATTCAGATTGATAGTATTTTCTTGTGGTAATTAATATAGAATAGGTCAGTGTAAAGCCCTCATAGCTGGTTCCAGAACGTGGAGAAAAGAGCTAACATAACATTTGTGCCTCTTTCTAAAAGCACAGAAAGAAAATAAACTAGTCAGAGCATAGGTGGATTTTAAAAACAAAATAAAGGAACAAGATGAAGTATGCAACAACTTAAAAATACTTCTGTATTCAACTTTTGTATGACACTGATAGTGTTTCCTGGGTGAAACCCAGTTTTTATGTTTAACAGTAGAGGTACTAGTTTGGAAATATTTTCTTTTGTTTTTCTTCCCACTGATCCATTCCTGTTTCATAATTTCAGGATGCAAATCACTCGCTGTGCCTCAGTGACTTGAGTCTCATCTCTACAGACTCGGAGCTACGAGAGAACATCAATAATGTAAGTTTTGCTCTTGCCTATGTTTTTGTTGAATGTGGTTTAGATTAGATTAGATGATTAAGAAATTAATTTAGTGTGTAGACGGTTATTCTAGTAACCAGTGACAGGATGTAGCTGGAACAGAAACAGGTCAGTGCATGAGCCTTTTTCATCTTCAATGGGTGACTTTCCTGTGATATGGTGTGTGTATAACTATATAGTTATGTTTGTTGTACTGGGTGGATCGTTGTCGCGATCACAGAAGTAATGGTTCCATGTGATTGGTGACCTTTCCTGGATATTTTTAGAGTTTGTTATTACTGGTTTTCATATTTCATTATTGGGATTTTTGAACACTGATATTCAGGCTTTGGAGTGTTTCTGATAAATTGGAACATATGCGAGGTCCTCATTTAAAACAATGCCAGTAGGAAGGAAACTGTAAAAAGGCAGGTACTGCGTGAAGAGAATGATGAGGGAGAAATAATCACCTAACTAAATGAGCTTTTCTTCTACTGTATCAGCTTTTAGCTTCAAATAATTAACAAGTATTTAATCAATTACATGTTTAAAAACATGATGGGATGCGTAATGAATTAATGTGTGTTCTTATGTTTTAAGATATACCTACATTAAATTCTTCAGTTTTCTCTATACAGATGGAGTGTACTAAAAAAGTGTAACTGATATTAATGAGTTTTTGTCCAGAAGAATAAGACTAAAAATAGAATGGCTGCAAAAAACACTCCTCATATTTAGGGGGTGCTATTCAGTTCAGTTAATTTATATAGACCAATTCACAAAACATGGCATCTCAAGGCACAGTACAGAGATAATCCAATCAAAACTTTTAGACAGATTGGTTAAAAATGTTCAAAAGAAAACCAGCAGTACTTAAACACATCTAATAGCCTGGAGTCTTTTTATTTATTTACTTAAATTAGCTTAATAAATATAGTCCTGTCAATATAAGATTTCCTTTAATTTCCAGTGAGAAAAAAATCAAAAAAATCTTGAATATTACATAAAACCAGAAGCAGGCTGATCAGTGCTATTTCCAAGCATATAATAGAAAGAAGAAAAACTTGGAGAAATTCTTAGTTAATTATGAGAAGTTAAAGTTTTCACAGTCAATAAAGATCAAGGTTCAGTTGATAATTTGTGTTGCAATCAGAATATTCTGAGTTTTGTCAGCAGGAATAAGAGTTGATTGAATTTGTCTGTAATAGATTTTACTCACAAAAACACCTAATTACCAATTTGTTGAGATGCACCAGCGTGTTATCTGTAATCAGTGCTGTTGAGTCATGTTAGCTGTTTTTTTCTTACATTTACAGGCTCAAAACTCGGACCTTAACAATGCGACTCCCATAAAAATATTTGAACTCATGTTCCAGAGTCCTGAAAACAGCATCAGCCAAGATGATCCCCATTCCATCAGTAAGGCCTTTGAAATAAAAATCCTGTACTTAAAGTGTGACAAATAAGTAATGAAAGTTTGTGATTCTTCTTTTCCTCCCAGGTGAAACCTTCTGTATAGAAACCTCTGCCCAACCAGGAGGGACTGATGTCTCACCTGTAATCTCCTTTTCTATCAATCCTACCTCCTCATCATCCAACAATGTTGCTGTCGTGGAGGCCTCTTCCCAACGCATTCAAAGCCCATCCTCTCAGACACACACTCCTGCTCCTGTCACTGTTGGTGTCAGCGCAACACAAAACCCCTCTTTCATCCAACTAAGTGGAGCTCAGCCGATTCCAGATGTGCCTCAGGCTTCTGTCCAAGCATCGAACCAACACTATGTGGCGCTGCCTCCCACATTCCTGCAGTCAGAAAGCGCTACTCAGACTTCTCCTCCACCGCAGCCCATCTCTGCTCACCCTCCAGCTCTGACGTCCACAGCTCCAGCTTCTACAGCCACAGCAGCTGATGGTCTGCCAGCTGCGGCTCAACCTGTGCCTTTGGCCGGCTGTGATGTCACCAACACTGCTCCCGGTCAGGCTGCAGCTCCTGCCACCATCACCATAGCATCAACACCCAACATGCTGCAGCCTGGCCTTGTCATGTCGGACCAGAACCTTCAGTGGATCCTCAGCAGCGCTGCCAACAGCCAGCAGAACCCTGAGCAAGCAGTAAGTAGAGGGAAATACCCAGGGCGTTTTTAATGTTATCATTGAGGATTAGCTCCAAGACGGGAGAGATGCTAGCTAGGCTTCTGTTACAATTTTCACCCCTGAGATTTTTTTTATTTCTAAATCATAATTATTTGCCTTCTGCTTTTTTTGTTTTCTTTATGGTTTTACAAATCAAATTTGTTGTCAAATCCCTGATTTGATGTTTATTCACAGTCTCATCAAGGAGCTCCAAAGGTGGAAAAGGTTTTCTTTACTACAGCCATACCAGTTGGGGGAAATGCTGGTAAGCTATTTTATGTTCTGTTTTTAGGCTACAGTCATCTGCCAAAATTTATGAGATTAAATGAAGAACATATATTTTTTGCATTTCAACAGAAAATTACACTGATGTAGTTTTGGTGGGCTTTTTACAATTCTAATGTTTTATGAGCTAGTAACATTAAAATGGATTGACATGAATTACCTTGATGCAAATCAGAAATAATGGTTTTGATTTTATTTTTAATAACCATAATGGATAAATATTCCAAATATACTCTTAATATATCGAAGTTCCAAATGGTTGGTGATTGACAAAGAACAAGTATCAGAGCATCATAATCAAGCTTAAGCCAGTTATCTTATTAGCTTTATGTCTCCTTTACTGTCAGCATCAAATGCCTATTCATATCAGCATCCGGAAGTCTGAGTTTAAGCCATTTCTTTTCCAGGTAACTCTGTCCAGCAAATCGGCCTCAGCCTGCCCGTCATCATCATCAAACAGGAAGAGTCCTGCCAGTGCCAGTGTGCCTGCAGAGACTCTGTGAAAGAAAAGACTGCAAAGAGTGCCTCCTCCAACATCTCAGCTTCCTCACAGCAGCAAACTGCAGAGCCCACTCCCCAGCTGTCATCTGAGCCTTCACTCCATTCAACCACTTCATCTTCCTCGTGCTGCCTCCCCAAGTCTTCCTCCAAGGTGGGTGAGCCGAGGCCAGAGGCCCCCTCTTCTTCCTCCGCTGCTGCAGCTCAGAGTTTCCCCCCTGTTGTGGGCAACACTGCCACCAACCCACCCCCACCTGATGGGTTGGCCAATATGGACGTCTCAGACTTCCTGTCCATGCAGAGCCCTGAGACTGCCGCCAACTTCGAAGCTCTGCTGCTGGTTGCGGAAGATTTTAATATAACCACTGACAACGGCCATTGAGTCAGGCACATCATTTTCCTATTCCACTCGCAGCTGAGAGGCCTCATCTATCAACCTGTATAGTTTGTGCATGCTAAACCCTCTGTCTGTGCAGTGCATTCTGTACTGTGTGGCATATAAGCAAATGTTTCTGATTTATTCTCAATGCAGTAAGTTGTTAGTTTGCTTAGAGATTTAGCAGCCTTTAGGCTAATTCATTCTGATAGGCAGTTGATCCTTTGTGGAAAACAATAGTTGTATATATTATATTTATCTATTAAAAAGATGATGGAATAACTGTTGTCAAAGCACTGAAAATGTAAATGGCTCAGGTTATAACTGAGCGGTAAGGAAAAATGATCTGTATATCTTGGTACTGTACCTTAGGTCCTATCAGACGCTTCAAACTAGTATGCAACTGACCAGAATGCACTGTATATTGGAGGAATTTGCTCTTTTTTTGATTTAAAGCATCATTTAGCTTGTATGAAGTGGTTCCCTTAGAATGTAGTGTTGAAAAACGTATGTAATCAGGATACTAATTAAGAGAAGAACCTATAATCATCTCTGCCTGTTTTTTAATGGCATTAAGTCAGTTGCCTCCAACTTTAACTTAACTTGTGTATTTTAATTTATTTAAATGATTTTGTTTACTGAAAAGAACTTAAAAGTAATCTAGTAATTTATTTCAATCAGGTCTGCTTTCAAGTTTAGCTTATTTTGTCAGTGATATACTGAATGAGTTCTAGTTTAACGTACGGTGAAGCAAACCATCGCCTGCAAGATACGACCACACCTAAACTACTGTCACCATCCCATGTTTTTAGGGTTGTTACCCTCTCAGGGATGCATGAAGTCAAAACTGATCCTGGTCCCCCCCCCCCCAGTTCATTAGACATATTTCCTTTCACCAAAAGGCTCACACCTGCAGTAGCCCTATGTTTTGCTGCACTATTCCCTGTTTTTTGCACAATTTTCAGAATAATTTCACAGCTTGTTGGCTGAGAGGCGACACCACTAGAAACGTTTTGTATACAACTGCTGTAAAGTAGCAATTAAACCTGGTGTCTGGAGACATTTTAAATAGAGTACATTTTAGTGTAATCTTTGAAAACCTCATAGAATTCAGGATTTGTATTTTTGTATAGAATTCTGAGCTAAGAGTTTGAAGCTAATGTATCCTGCATCTTTCCACCCCAGTCACATGTAGTTTTTGTTTTTTGCTGTTTATTTGAAATGTTCTGGGCTTCTGTATAGACACCCTTTGTATCAAAATATGTAACTATACCCTGTTAATAAGAATATAATTGAACAGTATTGTTTCACATGGGACACAATGCAATGACAGCTTAGTTCATCTCCTGCAGGTTTTTGTATGGAAGCTCCTTGGCCTTACAAACCATTCTGTAAGCCTCTTTGCCTTGACCATTTCTCCTTTAGATGCCAAAATGTTCAGTTCACCTCTGATCTTCCTGAGCAGATTATTTTGGCCAAAAAGTTCAGGTTTACTCAGATTTTTATTAAACATTTGTTTAGTTGAACAGACATGGAAAAAAAAAGTAATGAACTGTTATATGATGGATCAGCAAACTGTTCATATGTCAAAATTAGCAAATCAGACCTTCAGTCTTTGAGAAGCAGAATTTTCAGATGAGTCCTGAGTCATTCAACTCTGTGCTGGTCTCCTTTAGAAAAACTGTAGTGCTGAAGAAATTGAAAGCCACCACCTCTTTAAAAGGAAACATTATTGATGCTTTAGGGTTAAGAATTTTTTTTTTTCAAAATCCCAATCCTTGAAAAGCATCAATTACCCTTTTTTTTTTTTTTTTTTTGCCATTTTTAGGCTCATCTCTTGACCCAACTGTTTTGGTTTTCAGAACACCTAAAAATGTAAGGAATGCAGATCAAGCTAAGCTGTTAAGGCTAGAGACGGTAAGAAAAGCAATAGGTTCTCTTTTCTTAAATCTCTTTGGGACTTTAAGAATAGCACATTTTTGCCTTCAACCCAGTTTGTCCCTATATAGAAACAAATAGGTTAAAGGTTTTATTTCCTTTTCCATAAAACCTGAAATTAAAGTCTTTGCATCACTTTAAGTGTCACCTTAGGGTGTTGAACAGTGGGCTGCCGCTGTGCGACAGGGGAGCAGTGTGGAAACCTAACTAATGGTTTGTTTGAGCAAACAAAGGTTCAGCTCTTTCAAAGCAATAAACAAATGAGTGGCTTACAATTTACAAATTGTACTGCAATGTTTAAAGACTCCTCACATGTGCTTGACACTCCCAGCTTATAAAACTAAGAATCTAAAAAAAAAAAATAGAAGCGAGCCAAGCACCCAGTCAGTTCATTAGCATATGTACTGTTAATGTACAGTACTAAGCTATGGAATTTAAGGTGGCATTTAGAGTTTAAAAACTGACTTAAGACCTTTTTTAAACAGTTATCTGCAGGCTTATGCTCAAAGAGAAAAAAACTAACCTTGAATCTGGACTTGAAAGACTTAAGGAACTGTGCCCACAACTAATTTAAATTCTGTTTTAAGAATTTCAAAACTTCCTCATTTAAAAATGTGTTTTTGACTTGCTCCTTTTCCCACATCCAATTATTTTTCAGCATTCATCTTGAAAATATTTAAATTTCTTGCTGAGTTTACATGGTTTCAAAGTCCAAGTTTGTCTACCTGAAAGTGAAAGATGGTGACATTGACCTAGAAGCAGGAAGATGCACATGTGTTTGTACCCCCCCCCCCCCTCCCCTAGAGCAGTTAACATAGAAAACCATAACTTCTAAAGGAATGTGGTCCACCCAAAGAGTGATCTATTAATGTGTATTTTTCAGAGAATGTATAATGTGAAATTGTTTGCTTTTGCTTGTTTCTTACAAATTGATAAATACCTATGAACCAAGAGCAATATAGTAATAAAACCTTATTCATGTCAGACATATTCAGTTTGTTTGCTTCCATATTAACAGGATTGACAGCTTTTTATTCAGTTTGATTTCATAACTTTTTGGGGAGTGTGTCTTCTGTTTCTTTCTGTGGCTTCAAGTTTAGATTCTGAAGAGATTTTCTCTGCAAAAAGAGACTTGATTAGATAGCATACAAGGCAGGAATGCAAAAATAGTAAAGTACTCACCTCTAAGACTTTATTTAAAGCCTTCAAGTCATCCAGAACAGCTGTGCACACAGCCATGCTCTCTGACAGGGTGGCTAGCCTGACATCAATTTTCTCTCTGTCCTGAAGAGTCAAATTACAGTTAAAATAGTCCCATTAACTCCATTCAACGTGAAAATGTCAGATAACAGCTTTAAATTTAGTCAAAAAAACAAAATTAAGAGACTTAAAATCAGCTTTATCCTTTGGGATTACTCCTTCAATGAAATTCTGGCTCCAGTAGCTTATATAGAGTACAAAGGGCAGAGTTAAAGCAAGATTCCCATTTTGGAACGTTTAGTCTTGGTTTTACATACACCACCATGGGGAAGGCTTCAAATCAGTGCAGAAGGTAAAGATGTTGCAGAAAGAACAGTTTAATGGATCGTCAATCAAAGCAGGTTCAAGAAACGTATTGCTGCTATAGTGGACAAAAGTGATTCCCAGAATCCACAAAGCGAAGTTTGAGGAGAGCATGCGTGAATATATAAGAATTATGCTCCAATTTATAATTACCAATCCATCATTACTATATTCTAATTTGACAGACAGGATCTTCAACAATTTTTTACCTGTTTGGTGAGATTGCAATTATAGATCTTATTTTGAAGGTGACGGACGGAGAAGACGGACGTGGACGGAGAGTTGCGCAGGGGCGGAGCTTGATGGGGGGCCAGGGGTGGACATGGCCACCCTTAGCCAATCATTGGCCACCCCTCTAATACAGATGGTGGCAGCAGTAATACTCTCAAGTGGAATATTCAAAACATTTTATTTTTTGTGGTTAATTATGCACATCAGCATAATAACATTAAAGATAAGTATAGAATTCATGCTCTTCTCAGAACTAGATTTTGTGTCATTTGGAGTAAAGAGAAAATTATGCATCTCTGCAAGTCATCTAGGAGTCTTCAATGAAATAATTTTAATAAAAACTTATCAAATAATCAATGTAGATATTAGAGCTACTAAATATATTTATGCGGAATGTTTATTGATACTAGTAGGTAAATAATGACAATGGAAAAGATTTACACCCTAGAACTCAAAACGAAGTTTTATCCACTATACCTTTTATCTAGAAATTACAGATGTTTAAATATGTGTCTATTTGTTAGCAAAGGCTGTAGGGAAGTATAGTTAGTCTTTATTTAGAAAGTATGGATCTTTTGCTTGTTAATTTTCCTGTTGGAACAGTGTAAATTGACCCTGAGGTTCTGGTGCCTATCCACTTTCGGCCAGCCCTCAGTGTACATTGGTTATGTTCTGGCTACGCCTCTGGACATGCGGAAGAGTAGCAAAGGATGTGGAACAGCTCTTATTACCATTACAGACAAGTCCTCCACACGACGTGCGTCAGCAGAGCGGAGCGTTGACGGAATATGAGGGTGAGAGTCAGTCAGCAGCGCACAATGCATCTTAACGACTGAGCTCAACTGTAAAGTTTTCAGATGGTGAAGAATTGAGTCATGTAATATGTTGGTCAACTCAATTGTCAAACCCAAAATCGACACTTTTTTTTACCAACACTTTTTTCCTGCCTTAGACCGAAATGCTTAGTAAGAGATGCCAATTTCATTTTAAAAGTGGGACACAGCCAGGGGCGGAGCTAGATGGGGGGCCAGGGATGGTGGGGTCACAAATGGTGGCAACAGTACTACTCTCAAGTTGAAAATTCAAAGCATTTTAATTTTTCATATGTTAACAATTACTTAACACTAGTTAATTATGCACATCAATATACTAACATTAAAAATGATAAGTACAGAGTTCAAGCAGAAATTGATTTTGTGTTTTATGGGGTAAAGAGAAAATGATGTCTCTGCCAGTCATCTAGGAGTCTTCAGTAAAATCCTAGATAAATAACTATTTTAATAAAAACTTATAAAAAAAATAAATTTATGTAGATATTAGTACTTGTAAATATCTATTTTATGCAGAATAATTACGGTACTGATAAAAGTAGGTAAGTAATGACAATGGAAAAGATGTTCACCCGAAACTCAAACCTGAAAGAATTTTTCCACTATAACTTTTATTTTGAAAGCACGGATGTTTGAATATATCTGTCTATTTGTTAGCAAAGGCTGTGGATAAGTATAATTTGTCTTTATTTAGAAAATATGGATGTTTTGCTTATGAATTTTCCTGTTGGAACAGTGTAGAATGACCGTTAGGTTTTGGTGCCTATCTACTTTCGGCCAGCCCTCAGTTTACATTGGTTATTGCCTGGCCACCGTTATGAAAAATGTCTGGCTACGCCTCTGGACACTGCCAAAAGTACAAAAAACAAAACAAAAAAACTAACAACTATGACGTCACGTTGCTGGCTACCAAACTCTGATCCCCACAGAGGACTGCGCACAAACTCCAGTTCTCAAGGGTCTGTTTTCTGAATATTTTAGTTATCTCCCTGTTCAAATTTCTGCAGGAAGGAATGCAAGACAGCAGATGTGCTACAGGCTGCCATTATAGGAACCTAGGTTTCCTTAATACTGCAGTAAAGCTGAAACTCATGTAAATGAGACAACCAGTGTATAGAGTGTACAGCACAAGGATAAGCTTTTACATATGAATACCTTTCTGTATCATCTTTCTATAGGGGCATGTAGTGCTGTTAAATATTGCAACTATGTTAATATGTATCTGATTGTTCCATCTATTCAAGCACCATGATTTTCCCTCTTCTTAAGCATTATTAGGTGCAGGCAAAGAGAGAAGCAAAACAGTTTGACCAAGCAGCTATTATAGTATTAAAGTATAGTATTAAAGTCAAAATTCTCAGAATTTTTTTTTTTTTTTTTTTTTTTTTTTTTAAGATTAACAGAAATAAACCAACAAAAAGAAAAAAAAGTGCAATTTTTTAAAACCAAATCACCTAACTTGTATTCACCAGTAAATAATTCAACTGCACCTATAGTCCAGACACATTTGTTTGGACAGATTTGTAAATAATCAGTTAATGTAGAAGCCAACCTGTTGCAACAACACCAGGGCCTCAGCAGTGGCCGTTGCTTTGACCTCTAATCCTTCTGTTAAAGAGAAAACACATAAAATGAAGAATTATTTAAGCTAATAAATGTGTGTTTTAATTTTTAGTGGGAGGAAAAGAATGTTTTTTACCTGTTTCTGAGGCCATGTTTACTGAGATACCTCCTTGTTTTCAGTGTTTTAAAGCTAGTCCCTTGGTATATATCAAAGCTGTTCAAGGTGTTTCACATTTTCCTAATTGCTGCTAAGGATATTTTTGATAATGATAATTCTTTGTTCATTTTTTTCATCAGTTGTATATATGTTCAATGTTTAAATATTACTGCTTCAATCATTAATATGTATTCATTTAAGTGTAGTCATATTTAAGTAATTTTGGATCCGATAATGAATCACGATGCTTTGGCCCTTTAAAGAGATCTTGGGTCGATCAGTGGGTGGAGCTTACACTGCTACTGTTTGATGTGATTGGTCTACAATCTAATTATGCATCTGACATTATTTTGTGGTTTCTATCAACTGCAAATAATTCAGTATATGTTTTTAAAAAAGCTAAATAATTACTTGTTTTTATTAACTAAAAATAAATTTTCCAATTTAAGTTATCCTTATTTAATTGTTTGCTTCGTAATATTTTATATATCATATTT